TGAGACCCCAGGACGTCCATGGATTTGGGTGTGGGGGAGCGTCACGCTCTCCATGGTAAAAACCATCGAAACCCAGGAAACCCAGGGCACCCGGGAGGCAAGCAGGGTATTTCTTGGCAGGGCTCCCACTGTAGAGGCCTCCTAGATGGGGTCGGAGTAGACGGGGTCGGGGGATCGAACCACATCGCCGATGCATCGGCGACGCGTCGGCGATGCATCGACGACGCGTCGTCGACGTCGCCACTGCAGCGGCGACGTCGACGTGGAGAGCATGGGGCTTCACCTCGAGCCGCCTCGCCGATCCATCGGCGATGCGGCTCGATCTTCCGACCTCATCTGCTCCGACCCCCTCGATGAGGCCTAAAGTCAAAACCAGACATGGCGACGGGATTTTGGTAGATGGCGCACACACACACAAGGCCAACGACGACAGCGCATGGACGCTCCGAACACATGCAATGCTGGCTCGCTCTGGCCCTCCAAGATCGGCCTGGTCGTGGATGTTACCCTCAACCATGGCCGCGTGCTTTGGGAGTTGGCCGGCCCACTCATTCCGCGGGCGCCCCATCTTCCAGACACGTCCGTGTGCAGCACAATGCAGTGGGGCGCGATGCAATGCGAAAGCAGAGTAGCATAGCAATGCGATGCATAGTAAACACCGGCTGACAGTGTAACTGAGCATCGCCATTGCGCAACACTTTCTTTTTTGTTGTACGCGCCGGCCCTGGCGGACAGATCCCGACCCCCAGGGACAGATCGACGCTAATAAAAAGAGCAACCCGTGACAAATATTGCCCGGGTGAGCGGTCCAGGAATTTGGCCCGCAAACCGGCGAACGAAGCCATGGCCCCGAACATCGGCAATGGCCCCGGGCTCAGGCAGGACTAGGGAAGAACACTGGGGCGGAAATTCGCGCGGTTGCATCGATACGAATGCTCCCGCCAAACGTAGCAGCACCGCGCCAGGGATAAGGAGAGGCGGAGAGAGCAGAGGAGGGAGGAGAAGGAGAAAGGACAGAAACGAACTAGACCGGGACTCAAATCGAGCATAGGCCAATACAACGAAAATTGACACAAGGCCTTCTGCAGACACCGAGCAGGGAGGACAAATCGCGCCCCCCTGCGGAAGGCAGAGGCAAGCAGAAGAAGGAGGAGGAGCGGGACGGGAAGCGGTGACCTTGCGGGGGCTGGAAAACGCGGCAGCAGGTCACCGAGATGTCAGTGACCTCACAAGGGCTGCAAACAGCGCATGACATAGTATGGCATATCATGTCACTGGATACCATGGTTAAGCAATGGCAGGAACTAGCATTGCGTTGCAATGGCTATGGCGTGGCGCAACATGGCAGTAGCACCCTTTGTGCTATTATTCATGTGCAGACCGTTGCATGGCGTTGCGAAGCATTGCGTGCCATGCCACTGCGTAGCATATGATGACACATCATATCACATGAGGTTGCATTGCGACGCAAATTGTTCTATACATAGCATGGCGTAGCAGTCGAATGTGTAGCATGTCAGAGCAGCGCACACCGTGGCTCCGCATGCCTATTGACCCATATCATTGCACGTCATCGCGTGGCGTTCCAGAACGTCTCCCGATTTGATACAGTACAGAACGGAGCAGCACGGCACAGCTCAGACTTGCGTAGCATCGCGCAGCCTGTAACGTAATGCCGCACCACGGCGCTGCAGCCGCGATCCAGCACGTCAGAGAAAGGAACCGCGGAGCGCGGCAAGCAAAAAACATTACGATCCGAGGCAACACACAGAAGCACGAGAGGGCAAGGCGCCCCCTGAGCGAACCCCAGGGGCCCAGGAGCCTGCTGCCCCCCGCCGTGGGGACTTCTTTCTCGGGTCACAAAGGGGCAGCGCCCCCTCCCTTCGGTGGCGACTCATGGGGGCCTCCTATACCATCTGGTCGGCTCTTGCGAATCGACGCTAGTCGACGCCAAATCGACGCGAATCGATGCTAGATCGACGCCGATCGACGCTCACCGACGCTAAATCGGCGTTATCTACTCGCCTCCAGACGCTAACCGACGCGAGCCGACGCTAAAGACGGAATTCACAGGGTGCACCAAACTCCCACGATTTGCTTCGGACCCCCCCCCCCGCGACCCCAGTGGGACCTCAAGGCCTGCAAAGCAGTGGCGCCACTGGGGCCCTCCTTTGAACACCGCCTCTCCGGTGCGGCCAGGCAGCCTCCCGCCCACCGCAGGGCAAGGAGGGAGGAGGAGGAGGACGGGGCTGCTCAGGACTACTTAGAGCAGGCCGGCCAACTCTCCATGAAAACGATGGCCCCTGAGACACAGGCAGGCGAGCCCAGTGTCGAATCGACAAGTCGGATCGACGATCGAAACGAATCGCGTCGGCGGCAATCGGCAGCCAAGTCGGGAGAAGTCGAATCGGCGGAAATCGGCAGGCCAACATGCCTCCAATGCGAAATCGGATCCCGAGTCGGAATCCGAAATCAAATCGAATCGGAATCGGAAACCATCGAAGTCGAATCGAATCGTACCAGAGGGGTCGAAAGGAGCCCTACGCGGGGCGACCAGAGGCGACGGCCCTGCGGTGGGGGGTAGAGAGGTGCGGGGAGAAGGCGGCAGAAGGGCAGCCAGCAGCGGGGCCACCAGCTGGACAGTTGTCCCCCCGCCGCCCCTGCCCCCTCGGGGGGGAGAGGCTCTCGAGCACAGTGGGACGCGCCTCCTCCTCCTCCTCCTCCTCCTCCTCCTCCTCCTCCTCCTCCTCCTCCTCCTCCTCCTCCTCCCTCCTCCCTCCTCTCCTCCTCCTCCCCTCCTCCTCCCCCCCCTCCCCTCCCCCCTCCTCCCCCTCCTCCTTCTCCTCCTCCTCCTCCTCCTCCTCCTCCTCCTCCTCCTCCCGAGCCTCAACACTTCGAGTGAGACGCGCCTCCTCTGGGAGACGCGCCCCGCCGCCCTCCCCCCCCAGAGCCACTCCCGCGCGCGGGGATGGGCCAATTTCTCGACTCGGCGGCATCGTGTGACAAACACAATGCGTGGAGGAGGCCAGGACAGCTCACCAGCGCCTTCGGGGGAGAAAGGAAAACAGTTTTCATGTTGTGCAATTGCGCAAGAGGAAGAGAAAGAGGAGGAGGAAGAAGAGGAGGAAGAGGAGGAGGAGGAGGAGGATGAGGAGGAGGAGGAGGAGAAGGATGAAGAGGAGGGAAGAGGGCGGAGGAGGAGTGAGGAGGACGAGGATGAGCGATTCCAAACCGACACCCTGTGATTGCACCAGAGCAGGGGCCGTGGAGGGTGGGGCCCTGACGCAAAGCCGACTCGTGGAAAGCACCTCGTTAGGGTGCAGAGAGAGAGAGAGAGAGAGAGAGCGAGAGAGAGCGAGAGAGCGAGGGAGAGCGAGGGAGAGAGGATGCAAGGGCCTTGGTCGCCCGTGCCGGAGTGAAGCTGGCCGAGGCGCCAGCTGCGACGAGGCTGCCTCGCGGAGTGTTGCGTCCCATCCGTGGACTTTGGCCCTGACGAGGGGGTTTCGGACGGCGGGCCCTGAGATCCTGGCGTTGCAATTTTTTCACTACAGGCGATGTTCCTCGATTTCGGGCCCCAGGACCCTCACAGATCGGTCCGGCTCGAGAAATGACGCAGAAAGATGGGGTCTGGGGGCCTGGGCGTGACTTGTTCCGATGTTGCATTTTTTTTGCAATGACGGATCTCCCAGGGGGGGGGGGGGCATGTGTTCGCCACGCACCTCGCGCCCAACAGACTGTCGGCTGGCAACAAGATCTCCCGATCGTGCTGCAAGGTGAACGGGCAGCTCAAGACTGCGGCACCAGCGCCCAGCGCTGTGCTCGACATCTCGTGCCACATCCATTGAGCCCCAAAGCAAATCTACTGACGCTTCGAGTGTGGACATTCTGTCGCCGCCCATCTGCTGATGAAAGGACGACCGGCCAAGCCAGGAGACAATGACGGGAGGGGGGGGGGCTCGTCTGGATGCACCCTTGTGCTGTGCTACACCAGCCCATTGACTGCAACGTAGAACGCACAATCTCGATTGCAGATCGGCTCTTGTCTGGCCTCTCATCCTCTTCCAGCCAAGTCTGCACCACTGCTCACTGGACCCCTGACCCTTTACCAGGTAGGATACTTCATGGCCGCACGCGTGCTGTTGCGATCCTTGAGCACGGTCATCACGCTCTCGACCATGGCAAACTCCGAGTCGATGCCCAAGCAAAGCAGAAGGGCAAAGAATAAGATCGCCTCCCTTCACGCCACATATTCCAATATGATGTGTCGCCGGCGTCTTGCGTCTAACGAGTGACCGATCTCATAGCTCAGACACAACGCAACATCTGCCGACTTGCCTTGTGAACGCTGGGGCGTATTAGAATGCTCCTCTGCTGTCTGGTAAGGCCCCTTGATGTGTTCTAGGGCCGACCCTATCCACCCGTTGCGCGCGTCCTCCGAAAATCCCCCCCCTCCCCCCATTCTCCGCCACCGATGTTATGTAATTTTCCAGGTCGAATTACTGATTGGAGAAACCTGTTTCCTATAGAGGCACCTCCGAGTGGGGTAACACACAACAGGAGAAGCACACAACAACAAAAAACACCAAGCACTTAACCTGCACAGCGAAACGCTGTTTGGAGTACCCTTTTTCTTAGAGATGCCGTGGCCGAGCCGAGGGGGGTCAAAGCAACGAACACCAACAACAATATGCGAGAATATCACAATATAGCCAAAACCGCTTTCACACGCCCAAAACAATCAAGCTCGCCCCGAGACGGCCAACCCGGAAATCCAGGTACAAAAACCAGGGAATTTGGCTTTGCAGGTTTCTCAAAGAAGCTCAAGGGAGCCCCCATCAAAGTCTCCCAAATTTCAGATTTTCGGGTTCCCGTGCCCCCCCGCGGCGCGACCGTTTCTCCTTCTCCTGTTCATGTTCCTGTCCTCCTCCTCCGCATCCTTTTCCTCGTCCGTCTCCTTTTTCCCATCGTTCCCTCCTGGTCAACCCTCTCCTCCTCTGCCGATTCCACATCCGCGTCCTTTTCGGCCTGTTTCTCAAAAGATCCCCTCCCAAAGCCGGGAAACTCAGATTTCTGGGTTCCCGCGCCCCCCGGAGAGACGACCATTGTTCCTTGTTCCTCCTCCTCCTCCTTCCTCGTCCGTCTCTTTTTTGTTTCGCCTGCCCTTCTCAGCAGCGTCCCCCTCTGCCTCCCCCCCTCTTCGTTCATTCCCAGCCACGCGCGCTAAAAGCATGAGCACAGAACGCACGCCCCAGACCCCCGACGTCGTGTTTTTTTCACAACGTCGACCCCCGGAGGTTTGGACCCATTCCCCAGGACAGGCTGTTTGTTGGCAGGGCAAGACGGCCCCAAGACGGCCCCAAGACGGCCCAAGAAGCTTCCAAGACGGCCCAAGAGGCCCACAAGACGGCTCCATCTGGTATGTCATTGCCCCAAGCAAACATATCGAATAATGCATAAAGTGCAAACATCTGTATAAGGGCAACCATACGGGCAACCAAATGTTATGGGGCTAACTGAAAATGCATAAGGGCAACCATATGTTATGTGAGGAAGTCGGCCAATCACATCGAATAGTGATGCACATGTTCCTCAACAGCGCACTCGTGCTTCATCTCTGGGGGAGTTTCCGTTTACATTGTCCGTTTTAAGGAATTCTTGCTCTTTCTACTTTGCACCCCCCCTGCGTGGGCGATATCCCACCTTAACCGCACAAGCGTGCCTATCAACTTTTCATCCTGAGCTGTTTTTGACGGTCCCGAGGCCCGGGAAGGGTCCCCAGAGGCCGAAAATAGCAGAAAACCGCTCGTCATGCTTTTGTTTCGCAGCACGAGGGGGCCTGGGACACATGCACATGCACGACGACGTGTCATCGCGGCGGGGATGTGCCACGGGCCCCACGAGGAGTCGCCACTGACTTACGCCGCCTGCGGCGCGAGATCACCAGGTCGGCACTCCAGGACAAGTAGTCGCCAAGATGTCCACGGCGGCAACGAAAAAAAACAGAAAACACTACGCGGGGGTGTCCCAAAATCTGGCGGCCGACGCCCCGGACATGAAGTAAGCGTTACCCAAAACACTGGCCGCGGCCGTGCGCAAAAGCCGAGGCGACAATATAAACGCGACGGCGACGGACTCTGCGCACACGATGTGTACTAAGTGATGCGAACATGGAAAGATACCGGTGCAGACAATGTATGTAGACGTGCTTACCTCGAGCGCCTGCACGCGTGCAGGCTTATGATACATATTTCTAACCTGAAAATCGCCGGACCGCAAAATACGAACCTGAATCCGACGGCGCAATCCAATTCAAAATTTCCTCCGTTCTCTTATCCGAAAACGCCTGCAATCGCGCCCGAAACCAAACGAAACCTTCAACCCACGAGCGCGCACCCAAAACAGAACAGAACATATTTCTTGAAATTTTACAGAAATATCCCGCTTCGCAGTCGCTTACCCCCCTGGCCCCGAACTCTCCATGACAAAAACAACCGCGCAACCACGACAAACTGCACAACAGAATTCTTTCTAAACCTCCCCCTGGGCCCGAACCCCCCACACAGAAGGAACAACCGCGCAACCGCGACGAACTGCACAACAAAACTCTGCTTCGAACCCCCCCCCCAGGCCCGACACCTCCAACACGAAGGGAGCAAGCGAGCAACCGCGACGAGGCCTCTGGCCCACGACCCGGGCACGGTGGCGGGGTGGGCGGGCCCGCCACGTCCGCCACCAAGCCGGGGGCCTCGCTCGCCCTGCCGACAAGCGTCGCTTCTCCGAGCCAGGCGCTGAAGGTAGAGTTCGGTCGGGCCTGTCCCCCTAACTACAAGGGGATTTGGAGCGTAAAATTACAAATAGTCAACAAGTGTCCAAAACAAGATGCAAAAATACTATTAAAAACCGTCCCCGGACTATTTTCCTACTATTTTTGAACATCCCTCCTGTAGAGGGACGTGCCCGACTTAGAGGTAGAGGGGCAAAAAACGGCGGTATTGTTTCCCGTCGGCGGCTAGGCAGGGGCCGTCTGCCCTGGCGAGGTGAGCTACAAACGGGGGCCGCCGCCGAAGCCAATCCGCCGGCATGCAGGAGGGGGGGGAGGGTTGATGGACAAAATCCTGCACCTTTTTTAAAATTGGCTTCGCCCCCCGCGCCCCCAATTCAATATTGGCAGGCTGTGGCGCGATTTGCCGATCCGCCGACTGGCCTAAATCCTGCACCCCGCGGGCGCAGCCAATCAACATCGGGGGCAGCGGGGCGCGTGCACGTTTGCGCCGTCGCCCTGCTTGCGCGGCTGGTGCAGGACTTCGTCCATCAGCCGAAGGGGAAGAGAGGAGGGGCGGCCGCAGAGGAGGGGGGGGGGGAGGGGCGAGGGCCCCTCCGGGCGGACGGGTCGCGTTCCCGGGGGGATCGCTGGCGCGGCCGGCCCCGCCGGCGGGGACGGAGGCAGCAAACGGCACAGACAGACCTCCCAGCTCAGAGATGAGAGCATGCCACGCTGAGGACATCGGCTTCACTCCAAGCGTTTGCTCAAACAGTACAGTCCAGGGCCAGATATTATAGGAAAACTCCACGAAGCAAAGCAGCTCCAAGACAGCGCCCAGGGTCCAGTCCAGATTCTTGTTTTTCTTGAGCGAAATCTGGATTCTATGAACGTTGATGCTTTTTCTTAAGCTTCCTGATGGGTGTAAACTGTCGGCGCTCCGCGCGGAGCAGATCCAATGAATCCGCGCGGAGCGCCGAAAGTTTATGTTTTTGCCGTTCTTTCGTCTTCGATGCGAGTGGCCTCTTCAAGGTCATCCTCAGTGAGGCCGACATAGGGCAAACAAAAAGCTGTAGAACACTACTGTTCTCAAATCTCTGCAGGAGGGGGGGCCTGCTATTCAGGATGCTGGGCCAGCCGCAATTTAGACGCTACTTGGCTCAAACATGCGCTCAAGAAGGGTTTCGTGACAATTTCGTGCCACAACATACCTTTCAACCATGCAAACCTATCCATTCCAATACCCATACCTTCGAGGCGCCGTCATGTCCGTTGCTGCTTCTCGAAATCTAGAGTCAGTTTCCGTAATGAAGATCTCAATGTTCGGTGTCTTGTGATCCTGATTCCCAAATATGTCGCCCCCACGACTGCCCAAGATGGCCTCAAGACGGCCCAAGAGGCCCCGAAGACGGCCGAAGATTGCTCCAAGAGCTTGTCCAAGAGGCCCTCGAGAACAAACAAATACTATGTGTTCCTCTACCGGTTTCAATTCTGGCCCTTTCTGATTTCCGAAAGCCCAAGGCGACCCAACAGGTCCCAGACCTCCAAGACAGCGCAACTGAGCCCTAAGAGGGTTCAAACACTGCTCATGGGGGTCTCCTAGACAGCCCAAGAGGCTCTCAAGGCGGCCCAAGGGGTGTCCCTGACGGCCCAATATGCCCCCAACACGGCCCAACAGGCGCCAAGAAGGCCCCAAGATGGGGCCCAAGAGGGGGCACTCGGGCTGGCCGCGACAGCCTTTTCCTACATGTTCCTACCCCAAGATCCCAGCATACTCCCAAGAGGGCCCTGAGAGGCCCCAAGACGCCCCCGAGAGGCCCAAAAGACCCGGACGAGAACTCCCAGAGGTCCTCCTGCAGACCACCCCAGGACCTCCCAAACGGACCTGACAGGCTCCCTAGAGGCCCCCACGAGAGGCTCCACTCTGCGTCTTCAAATCAGCCTCCTTCACGCTGCGCTGCTGCCCTGGCGCGGTGGCGGGGTTTGCCGCAGGCAGCTGGATGTGCCAACTCGAGACTGTTGGCTCGCTGCGGCGTCCTCGTCCAGGATGTGTTCACCGCGCGCCCACGCGGCTCCAGAGAGGAACGTGCAGACCAAGACCCGATTCAAGGCGCCCGAGTGGCGCCCACTAGTCGCCAGGTTTACTGGCGACACCACGACCTATCACGAATTCCAAGAGAGTTCGTTCCTGGCGCCTCGCCTTGACACACCCCATCCGAACACAGGAGATCATAGCAAGCATCTGTTCTTCTTCACCATCTCCCTTCTCCTCCTTCTCCTCCTCTTCTTCCTCTTCCTCCTCCTCCTCTTCTTCCTCCTCTTCCTCCTCCTCCTCCTCCTTTTTCTTCTCCGGAAGTTTTAAGTCTCGTTTGACCTCTCGTTCCTCCTCCTGTTGCTCCTCCTCCCCCCTCGGCTTGCTCATGCCTCATGTCGCAGTGCCCCAAATGCTCCTTCCAAAGTTCCGTGGAGCCACTTTGGCCCTCGCGGGCTGTCCGAGGCTCTCATGGGATTATCTTGGGTTATCTCGACATGGGGACCTCTCAAACCGTCTGGGTCTCATTCAGATGTCCCCTTAAGGGCCCTCGTGGGCAGCACTGGGCCACTCGGGAAGCCCACTGGGCCCCCGGGGGGGTGAGAACCATCCTCTCCAGCAGTCCCAGGCTTTGGGGGCCGTTTTTCAACGTTTCTCTGGGTATGGTTGCTCCCTCCGAGGCTCTCCTAGAGCCACCTTTGGCGGAAGCAGATCTAGGAGTGCACAGGAACTTGCAAAGTCCATGTGCTCCTTTGGTCTCCATCCGTCTGGGCCGTCAACCAGGGGGCACGCTGGGGACCCTCAATGTGAGCTGCTGGGGTCGTATTGAGGCCATGTGGCCCTCGCTGGACCTCTTGGGAAACACTCTGGCCGCACACTGGGAGCTCCTGGAGCCATCCGAGGATGCCTTCGGCCCGCTCCAAGACAACTCCCCCGGAGCCCGCCTAGGCGGCCCGCCCCCCCCACCCGCACACCCGAAGGAGGCCACAGCCCCCTGGGAAGGTCCGGGCCAGGATGCTGGCGCTCGCGACTCCTGCTTCGATCCCAATCTTTTTTGGCTCGTTCCTCCAGGCGCCCTTCCGACAGGGCCCTTCTGGACTCTCTTGGGGCCTCCGCTTCCTGGGCTCCCCCAAAAACCCAGAGGTTCCTGGACCCCCCCCCGCACACAGACAGACGGACAGACAGACAGGCAGACAGACAGACAGACAGACAGACAGGCAGGCAGGCAGGCAGGCAGGGAGACAGGAAGACAGGAAGACAGACAGGCAGACAGACAGACAGACAGACAGACAGCCAGACAGACAGACAGACAGGCAGACAGACAGACACACACACACACACACACACACGCACAGACGCAGGCACGCACGCACGCACGCACGCACACACACAGACACACACAGACACACACAGAGACACACACAGACAGACACACACAGACACACACACACACACACGCGCGCACACACGCGCGCACGCGCGCACGCACGCACGCACGCACGCGCACACACGCACGCACGCACGCATGCACGCACGCACGCACACGCACGCACGCACACGCACGCACACGCACACGCACACGCACACACATACACACGCACACACGCACACGCATACACACACACAAGCACACTGTTTGGCGTCGCGGCCCGGCGCGCGGCGGCAGGGCGGAGAAGGTCTAAAAGCAGGAAGCGCGCGGACTAGAAGCGCCCGAGCGCTCAAAGACCGCATTGGGGCTCGCAGCCTCGACACACACGCACACAAAACCTTCGATCCTTCTACGACTCATCTGGGAAGATCTTCGTCTGCTGCGGCGGCGCCAGGGGCGGGCCCGCAGGCTGTCCAGAGGCAAACCAGATGCTTTCGAGAGCCTGTGGCGTTAAGAGGATCAACTACTTGTTGGTGGCACAAAAAGGGGTCCAGCTGACAGGGGGTGGTGCCATAGATTTGGGGCAATTGTATTGCAAATGTATTGCGCCAGAGAATTGTATTGCATTGTACTGCAAGTAATGCATTGCACGCGAAAATACAGCAATACATTTGCGCCACGGAATGTATTGCACGCCCCAAATGTACTGCAACCCCACGAATATATTGTCCCAAATCTATTGCACCACCCCCTTGTCGCTGGACCCCTTTTGGGTCAACTCGAACACTGGAGGTTCAGAAAAACACATGTGGCTTGCCAGGATCGTCCGGAAAGGCTCTGTGGAGAACTCGGGGGCGGCTTCGGCGGTCCAAGGGCAGCCAGGTGGCGTCTGCGGAGCCGTGTGGCTCCGATCGTGCGCTGTCTTTGGACCGTCGTGGGGCGTCTGAGGAGTTGTTGCGGCCAGTAGGCGCGCCCGTCCAGGCTTCTGAACTGCACGACGAAGATACACGCCAGTCTGCAGAAGTAGGTAAAAACATGAAGTATAGGAAGGTGGATAAAGTAGATTGGGCTTAGGCCCTACCAGAGAACAACAACACACAACATGAGCACATCGATTCTTGAAGTAGGAAGGCCCCTGAAGCAGATTGGGATCTGGCAGCCCAGGAATACCTACCTTCAACGACCGGAGTGTGCTGGCAATGGCACCTGGCGCAAGATGTCTGAGTTTGCCCGGCCAGGCCTGCAGGCCACCCTGCAACCTGCAACGCCCCCCCCCTCCCAGACGTACGCGAGCGGCATTCTCGAGATGGCGATCGGGAACGCGATGAAGGCCAAGCTGGGGCCCGTGAGCCCGATGATATTGAGGTCGCCTCCATCTCGGCTGCTTCCGCTCACACACTCTCCACTCCGCTCGTCCCCGCCCACTCTCACCACCTGCCATCTTCTCGCTGTCCTGCTGCGTTTGCGACGGTGTTCGGCAAGACGCACGCCACGACTCCACACCTGCAGAATCACGCGCGGACTGACAGACACAACGGCACGGCCACACGCATCCGTGAATTACGCTTGCGCCAGGAGTGCGCACGCGATAGGTCCACCATGGATGCATACATGCCCTCGAGTTTGAAGGCGCGCTTGGGCATCGCCTGGCCCTCCTGACCGACGAGGCCGGTGCAGAACGGCACCCTCTCAGCAGGGCGGTGGGCCTGTTGGCCCCCTCAACACTGCCGACCTGCGAGGCACGATCGGCAGGAGTCAGTGCCTTCGCCCCGCGTTCACAGCGACCCCGCGGACCTGGCCACGGAGCCTCAGCTTGGCACACGCACAATGGGCGGGCTGGGGGGGTTTGGGGGGGTCGCTGCAGTTCACGCATGCCACGCCGCGCGGGGGGCGGCGTCCCGGAGCCCGATGGGCTCCCGCCTCTCATCTGCTTCTGTGCCACCTCTGCCCTCCCCTGCTGCCGCCCTCCCGTCGATGCATCGCCGACCGTGGAGAAAGTCGAGCTCCGCACCGAGCCACATCGGCGATACATCGGCGATGCGGCGCGATCCTCTGGCGCCATCCGCTCGGACCCCATCCCCAGACCCCCGACGTCGTGACTTTTTCACAACGTCGACCCCCAGAGGTCTGGACCCATTCCCGAGGACCGGTTTTTCATCCCGAGTCGTTTTTTGACGGTCCCGAGGCCCGGGAAGGGCCCCCAAATGCCGAAACTAGCGATAAACCGCCCGTCGTGATTTTTGCTACAGCGCGAGGGGGTTCTGTGTCTGGAAGGCCTAGACTGCCGCCCTCCACCTCTCCCACTCGCTTCGGTGCGCCATCCGCTCTGCCGCGCAGGC